TCATTGAAGGCCAGAGCTTAGAGACCTTTAAACATATTATTGCAGCAAGCATATTTATTGAGTAAAATAAGAGACACAATATTTGAAAGTTTGAAGAGCAATATTCTAACGCAAATGGCAAACTTTTAATGTAAAAATATAGGGAAGACCAAAAGTTAAAGGGAAGACCAAAAAATGTTTTGGAGCTCTTCCTGTAGGTTGTCATTTTGTAAAGGAAGGTGTCATAGTGTTACACAAGTAGTGGATGGAATTTTAAATTTGGTAGTGGTACCAAACTAGTAGTTCACCCTGGTAAGTGGACATTTTTATACAAGCCATATTTAAGGAATAAATCTAAGAAACTCTCTAAGGAAATTCTGCTTTAATTAACCCTATCTTTTACTTGAGAACATTATAATAATTATTTTTTACCCTGTAGCATACAAACTGGTAATCTCCCTTTAGGGTTACTTTGATTCCCAAATAGCTCTATTAAAACATATCTATGCTCATAAAATAACCCTCAGCTTGGTGTTCTGCAATTTAAAATAACATACCCTGCCACTTTATCAGAAAAAAAAATGCTATGATACTGACAAAATGAAAGTTCAGTCAGAATAGAATAAAATAGAATAGAATAGAATAGAATTCTTTATTGGCCAAGTGTGATTGGTGCAAATGCTCTAAGTGTAAATAAAAGAAAAGGTATATTCGTCAAGAATCAGAAGGTACAGGGACAGTTTATTCAAGATCCATCCCCAAAGACCAGTAGTTTTGGGGAATAAATCTTTAAATTGCATTAATACATTTTCAAAAAAAAGGAGATAAGAGGAATATTATAGTGTAATATTTAAAATCCACTCTGGATGGAGGGGAGAACAAAACTTTTAGAATTCTATGATTCTATGTATTTTCGGAATTGGGTTACACAGTCCAGGATTGATAACCACTTTTTTGCACATTTTAAAGTTGAATTAAATGGGTTACACATTTAATTCAAGTGTAAAATTTACAAAAAAGGGTGAAATAGGAGAAGGAAATATTTTTTTAAACAAAAAATTATAAAAAGCAGATTGAAAGCTGGAAGTGATTCTCCTCCACCCTGAATTCAGATGCTGTGCACAATCAACATAAGAACATTAATTTAATGCTTGGGAATGTTTAAGAATTTACAGAAAATGTAGAAAAGAAAAAAGAGACTACTCTGCAGCTAAACATGTCCTCTTAAAAAGGCCTTTGTTTAGCTTGTCCTAGAGAACAGACTCTTTTTTTCTTTTTCTTTTTTATAAAAGTCTCTTAAGTCTCTTCCTTCTTAAAAAAGAAAGAGGGGATTTATTTATTTATTTGCTTGTTCATTGATTTGTTTATTTATAAAATTTATTTTTCACCCATCTTGTACCAACAACTCTGGGCAACTTACAACATAAAAAATGAGTGGAATTTTAGGGGAAGCAATATCTATGGGAGATGGAGGTAATTTAGTACTGTAATGAAGATAGGATTTAGGACACTGTTCATAAACAGATCAGTTAACTGTGCTTGGAAGCTAGCAAAGAAGGCCATTTTGTAAAGGTATTTTTTGTAGTGCTACAGTACTTGGACAAAACTCACTTTGGAAGTGGGACCACACTTGTTGTCATCTCTGGTAAGATGAACATTTTTGAATGTGCTTCTTTAGGAGACAATTGGGACTTTTGCAGGGTTCTTGGTGTTTTCTGAGCTTGGCGATTTTCTTGCAGACATTTCATTACCCAACATGGTAACATCATCAGTAGAATAGAATAACAGAGTTTAGAAGGGACCTTGGAGGTCTTCTAGTTTAACCTCTGCTTAGGCAGGAAATCCTACACCACTTCAGATAATCTCTTCTTAAAAATTTCAGTGTTGGATCATTCACAACTTCTGGAGGCAAGTTGTTCCACTGATTGTTCTAAGTGTCAGGAAATTTCTCCTTAGTTCTAGGTTGCTTCTTTCCTGGATTAGTTTCCACCCATTGCTTCTTGTCCTGTCCTCGGGTGCTTTGGAAAATAGGTTGACTCCCTCTTCTTTGTGGCAGCCCCTGAGATAACAGAACACTGCTATCATGTCACCCTAGTAGTCCTTCTTTTCATCAGACTAGACATATCGAGTTACAGCAAGTGTTCTTTATATGTTGTGTCCTTGAGTCCCCTAATCATCTTTGTTGCTCTTTTCTATACTCTTTCTAGAGTCTCAGCATCTTTTTTACATTGTGGTGACCCAAATTCCAAGTGTGGCCTTACCAAGACATTATAAAGTGGTATTAATACTTCACATGATCTGGATTCTGTTCTTACGTTTATGGAACCTAGAACTGTGTTGGCTTTTTTGGCAGCTGCAGCAATACACGTAGCTCATATTTAAGTGATTGTCCACTAGGACTCCAAGATCCCTCTCTCATACTAGAAGAGAGTGGGAGCTTTGCTCTGAATTTCGTATATACTTGTGGCTTGCCCTGTCAGTAATGCTGGGAACATGAAGGACTTTCCATGGTGAAGATAATCAACCCCAAATAAGAAGCAGTGTAAAAGGCTGCCATGCTGTAAAGACATTTTTCATAGTGTTCAGCAATCTACTTGGAATTTTCAGTTAGGCAGTGGAACCAAACTTATAGTTCTTCCTGGTAAGATTTATTTTTTCTTTCTTTCTTTCTTTCTTTCTTTCTTTCTTTCTTTCTTTCTTTCTTTCTTTCTTTCTTTCTTTCTTTCTTTCTTTCTTCTTTCTTTCTTTCTTTCTTTTTCCCACCAATTCAGTAATTTTAGGGATGTTCCTGGTAGTTTTTCAGAAATGTCCAGAATTCATATAGCATAACCCTAAGAATGGAACATTTTACACTTAGTTATACTGCTAAGTCACATCCACTTACACAATCTAATGCATATACATTTTATAATTCTTACTGGAACTTCTTCCTTCTTGTCTTTCCCTCAAGTCTTTGAAGAATAGGTTGATCCACTCCTCTCTGTGACAGTTCCTCCAATATTGGAAAACTGCTATATTTGAGGGGCTGTCACAGAGAGGAGGGGGTCATCCTATTCTCCAAATTACCTGAGGTCAAGACAAGAAGTAACACATGGAAGATTAATAAAGAGAGGTCCAATCTAGAATTAAGGAGAAATTTACTGTTGGTGAGAACTTTTAATCAGTAGAACAACTTGCTTTCAGAAGCTGTGGTTGTTCCCACACTGGAGGTTTTTAAGAAGGGATTGGATAGCTATTTGTCCAGAATGGTATAGATTCTCTTGCTTGAACAAGGGTTGGACTAAAGGACTCCAGCTTTTCCAACTCTTGTTATTTTATATTCTGTAACCCTGGTGTCCTTGGGTTTGACGCTTTGTAGAGTGAATGCAGAGTTGGGTCCAAACCTAATATAGATTTCTTTAAAGTCTTCAGCTAATTCACTAAATGAAAACAACAGCAGGAAATGCAGTAAGACAAGCTACTACTGCTCAAGCTACTAAGCTCTTAGTCATAAAATGATAGCATCAGATGAAAGCCCACAGGGAAGGAGGCGTAAGCTTTGTGAGTTTTTCTCTGAAATTAGTTTTGGGAAGTTTTTCAAGCACTTGAAGACGTTATTAGCTTGTTTTGCAAGAAAAAAAGTACACAAGTAGAAGTATATGACATTAAGGTTTTGTGCTTGTGTTTGTATTTGAACTGTTAATGTGTGCATGGATATTCAATACAAAAGGTAAAAACTGAATGGCATGGAGGGACACAGGCCCCACACAACCATCGGGCTGGCCAGCCCTATGACAACTTCTCCCCCCTGCCTGTATTAATAACTTACTAACCCTCCCTATCTTGCAATTGTTCATCTTTTGAAAGGTTATAATGCTATTTTTATAATTTTAAAACTTTTAATCTTACTTTAATTCTGATTTCAATGTTATTTTCATAAATTGTATTGTACACTGCTCAAGCCATTCTCTCAGGGAGATGGGTGATCAAGAAATAAGAAATATAAACGAATAAAAATACATTTTCCTGAGTCTCCCTTGTGGCCATGAGAATGAAAAAATGACAAAAGAGCCAGAATTTCAACAGATTTGTTTATTTATTTGTCTGTCTGTCTGTCTGTCTGTCTGTCTGTCTGTCTGTCCGTCCGTCCGTCCGTCCGTCCATCCATCCATCCATCCATCCATCCATCTATCTATTTATATATTTGGCTAGCAAGTATTAGATAACAGGTATAAGCATGGTTATGAATACATGAAATGGATACAAATAAAAAAAGAAACAACCAAAAGAAAAAAGCGGGATAAAAGACAGAATTTATACTACTGAGTTTCATAACAGTTAATGCCTCAAGAGGCAGGAATAATTGAAAAATTCAAGAAGGCAAAATGAAAACTTTTTTTAGGATTTCAGGTATAAACCTGTCTGAGAAATAAATCCCTGCTAAATTAGTTAGGAAACTTCTTAAATTCCAGAGAATATTTACAAGGCTATTTGGGCAGGCTGAATTTCAAAGAGAACAAGTTCCTATCAACCTTCAAACATCTGGAATTTACCTGCTGGTTCTTTAGATCCAGACCTATCTACCTACCTATCTGCTTGTTACTAGACTTGCCAAAACCTTTTACTCTATCTTCCCTTTAAACAAGATGAAACATCAGTCCTCTTAAGTACCAGTTTTGAGGTTTCAGCATCTTCTCAGTTTTGTCCAGGTTCAAAAGCTTAGTCAGCCTGATTAGTACTTTAAGAGGAGGTCAGTAGATATGTGCTAGATTAAACTGAGTTCTTAAGAACACACATGGCCACCTGAAGTTTTGGAGTTCATTCTTGGATCTTGTCCAGAAGTCCACCAAATACTTAATCCAAGGCTGTCAAACTTGCGGCCCATGGGCCAGATACTTCACACACTGGTCAGGTCTTTTTTCAGTGCCATTGTCACTCCGAATGGTCACTAAATGAACAATTCTAAGTCTGTATGTGTTTCCCAAGTTTTTCAGATCTCAGAGCTGAGTAATGTATGGTGTTTTTTTTTTTTTTTTTTGTAGATCTTAATGTTTCAGAACCTTCTGTCTACCAGCTGGAATCCAAAAAAGAATCAGGCGACCTAGCCGCTTGCCTCATTACTGACTATTCACCAGATCCCATCAATGTGAAGTTTAATGATAATTTGGATCCTGTAGCAACCAATGGCTCTGTTGTGGTTGTGAAAGATGGCGATAAAGAATCGGCCAGCCTTGGGGTCGTCCTTTGGAGCAAAAATAAGGATGAGTTTCAATGCTCTGCTATTTACAATGACCAAACCTACAAAGCTGAAAAAGAAGGTAAATTGATGTAAATATTGGAATTCCCGTTGAACCCATATCTAAAATAAAGCTTTCTCCCTCCAGTCCACTTGGAGGAAGAAAGAGACCAATAATAGCTGCTTTTCTTATGGCTCCTGAGGGCCAATATTCCTGCAGAAAATATGAGGCTCACTTAGACCAGAAGACAGTTTTGCAGATACATTTAGCGTATGGCATATCATCCATGGACTAGCAATATTATATATTAACACTTGAGTTAGATTAATACAATACAATAAAATATAAATGTCGAAAAGATCTATGTTGAAATAGCAATATCTAGGCCCGTGATGATGAATCTATGGCACACATGCCAGAGGTGGCAGGCAGAACCCTGTCTTTGGGCACGCGAGCCGTCACCCAGCTCAGCTCTACCATGCATGCACACATGCCTCCCACTGGCCAGCTGGTCTTCGGGTCTGTGTGTGCATACGCAGGGGGTGGGGCACATGCAGGGGCACGCACATGGGGAGGCACACACACAGGGAATGTGCACACATGTACAGGGCAAATGCACAGGGGCATGCACACATTGCATTTGGGGTTTTTGCACGCACATGCGTGCTTGGGGCACTTGGTGCCGAAAAGTTAGCCGTCATTGGTCTAGGCTATCTAACCATTGAAATACAGCAACATTTATACTAAAATAAAATAGATACCAGACCAGTACATGCCCTCAGCCTATCTCTGGTCAAGATGTGATCTACAGTTTGATGTGAGAATCTGCAACTGTTTTGCAGAAAGAGGTGGGAACAAATAGGGTTTCTCAAAGTTTATTGAGATGTGTATTTCTTATATTGTTTAAACTTTCCTAAATCCTTACTTCCCTGAGTGGTGCAACAAGTTTTTAACCATGCACCATGTGATATTTTTAAAGACATGCATATTTTCTAAACTAATATCATTTATTCTCTTTAGTTAAAAGGAGAGTTGAAGTTTAGTTTTAAAAAGATAGCTGTGAATAGCAAAGATAAATGCAGTGAAATAATATTCAATAATGTTCAGAGTGGCTTCGAACATTAAAATGGATGACAAATACATTTAATAACAAATAATAATCAATAAGTAAACTTTCAAATGGTTTTGGAAGTGCTTGGGAAATGATAAATATTCACCTAGTTTTCAGAAGGCCATTATGAAGATATCAGGTGAGCTTCTGTTGAAGAATAGAGGAGATATCAACTCCTCTACTCGTTGCAGAATACCTGATGCCACCAGACTCAAAATTCTAGACCTAGAAAATCTAGAACTATGCCGCCTTCAGTCCAATCTAAGTATAGTATATAAAATCATACATTGCAATGTCCTATGTGTCAATGAATACTTCAGCTTCAACCGTAACAACACTAGAGCAAACAAACTCAGGGTTAATCACACCAAACTTGATTGCAGGAAATACGACTTCAGCAACAGAGTGGTCAATGTCTGGAATACTCTACCTGATTTTTTTTCCCCAAACCCCAAAAACTTTAACCTTAGTCTCTCTACTATGGACCTCACCCCTTTCCTAAGAGGTCTGTAGGGGGTGTGCCTAAGCGCACCAACGTGCCTACTGTCCCTGTCCAATTGTTTCTTTTATATTTTTTTTTAAATTTTTCTTATATGTATACATGTATTCATAAGTATGTTTTTACTTACACCTATTATCTTGTAAGCAATTGACAAATAAATAAAATAAATAAAATAAATAAATATTCTAGAAATGAGGTGCCACCACTAAAATGTTCATTTTTTCCTAGCTTGCCTTGGGGCTCAGGAGGTTCTTTTCCTTCTACTAGTACTTAGTACTACTACTATTTAGTTGTATTTAATAGTAGAGGGATAAGGATCTCAGGTGGACATTGTAATTCAAGGCACATAAATATAATGGTTGCTCCTGCTTGTAGCACGGCTGTAGGATATCTGTTTTATTTTTGTGTGTGTTGGAGAAAGAAGAGAGCAAGCCACTAAATGTGGAAAGTTGTCAGCCCTATCTCAGTGTGAGCTTTTAAAAAAACTGATCCTTAACACCACTGAGGATGAGAAAGAAATAGTTTATTTGAAGTTAAGGGATATATAGTAATGCAAAGCCAGAACTGAATGTCCGTGCGCCAAAATCCCAGGGTAACTTTTCCCTTTCCAAAGGCACCTCCCATAACTGGTCCCTCCAAGTCCAAAAAATTCAAAATAAATATTTTTTCAGAAAGGTTTTCTGGGGAATGCAGCTGCTCTCCATTCCCAAGCTGTTGACTTTGAGAAGGTGCTCAGAGTGGAATGATAAAATTTCATCTGTTCTGACCTAGACTTCTCAAGATCATGAAGCAGGTTAAAGTGAATTCCTCTCCAGCAAAGTCCTGGCAAACAGTCTTTCATGAGATTTTACAACTACAGACCTTTATCAGGCTTGGAGAGTTGCCAGGCCGATATCTTCCAAGTGCCATGCTGTAGCAGCAATTACTTGACATGAAGTCAGGAACAGATCTTCACCCAATGAATTGAATTGTCTCCTGTAAACACCACTCCCCTTTTGCTCCTCTTCATTCCCTATGGGAGGGGTCATTCACTGTCCACCTGAGCCTTCACTCCCGAGTCGACGCTTGCTCCTTAACTGTTCCCTTCTCCTGGCAGCTCTGCTCATGCACATACCGGGAACAGGCTCCAGCTGTTATTCTGTCCCACTGATCTCTGACTCTGAAGGCAACTGATAACTGTCAGACAGCTTTGGCCCCATCTCTGCCTCTGATGCAGAGCACTTGTTGGAACCTTCCCCAGACTCCAGGACCAGCCCATGTTCCTTCCCAACCTCCTCACTGTCTAAGTTTGCCACCAGCTCTGCTGCCACTGGTGGGCCACAACATCATCCCTTGGCCTAACAGACCCCTAAGTTTATGGCAGATTGGCACCGAAATAGCTTCTCGCAGCCGAGTAGCATAGCGTAGCATCAATCATCAAGGTGACATCTGACAAAAACATTCCAGAAATCTTTCTTGCTCTTTTTATTATAATCATAATCATTAATGATAATTGTTGTTGTTACTATAGAGGATGCTACGTGTTCAGAAACTCAGTCTGACACTCCAGTTTTCGAAACAGGTATGTTCACTGTGGGTAAAAGCTCATGTCAAAATAACAGTGTTGGAAGGTGTGAATTGCAGCTGTACACACAAAGTCAGAGACAGTGACCAGATATATTTGCATTAAAATTTACAGCGGTCAAGATAGGAGGACTAGGAACATTGTGAGGTAAATCATGAACAACGTAGCGTAGAGAGCACACAGAAGAAAAAAAGGCGGGAAAAAGGGAAACTCCCCCTTTACTCCACAACAACCAATCAATGACAAGTGTGGGTTGTGGCCCATTGTACACTTCACTGTTCCTGCTGCTAAGTTTAATATGCTAACAGAAGGGACCCTGGAGTTCATCCAGTCCAACTCCCTGCTCAAACAGGAGACCCTATACCAATATAGCTATATGAACAAGATACACCAGTGAGAAGTTGAAATAAAAGCAAAATGTTGTGTAAAGTCCTGCAAAGGTGCCTTCATTGGGGTTTGGTGGAATCTCAAAAAAAGTCAAGATGGCAACTATGAATGCTAGTTCTAAGACTCACCACGTATTTACTATGTGTGGCAGACCCAACACACACACAAAAGAGCAAAGTTTGAATTGGTTACAGATGTTTACAGATTAACAGAGTGGAAGGGACATTGTAGGTCATTTAGTCCAATACCCAACCCAATTGTGACTGACATTGTGATTTCATTTTAACTCACACTCCTTCACTGTAGAATCATTTCTTTGAACATGCAAGTACAGGTGGTTTTTGACATTCAACAGTTCATTTAATGACTATTCAAAGTTACATCAGCAGTGAAAAAAGTGATTTATGACCATTTTTCAGATTTAACATTCATACTTGGGACTTGAGTTACTGTTTCTTTGTGGGTCTGTTTCACTTATGACATTAAGCCACAAAATATGGTTTACAATAGCTGGATTCATAATCTTAACTATTTAGATCAGAGGTGTCGAACTCATGGCCCATGGGCTGCATGCAGTCCTGAACAAATAGTAATGTGACTCTAACAAGATATTATTTTTTTAAAAAAAATAAAAAAAAAATAAAAGTTGGTATTCATTACCTGAATTATATATTTTATATGCAGCCCGAGACAATTCCTCTTCACTTTATGCAGTCCAGGGAAGCCGAAAGGTTGGGCAACCATGATTTAAATACAGATAAATACAGATATACAAAGAACAATATAGTTCCTCCATTAAATCAAAGCATTTTTTCTTGATGAAAATCAGCAACAGACTTTATATATTAAGTCCATATCATACAAATTACAGGTAGTTTTCAACTTATAAAAGTTCACTTAGTGACCTGTTCAAACTTACAGCACTGAAAACCATAACTTATGACCAGTTTTCATACTTGCGACTGTTGTAGCATCCCTATAGTCACATGATCAAAATCCAGATGCTTGGCAACTGACTCATATTTATGACAGTTGCAGTGCCCCAGTTTGACTAATTTAACAACTATAGTGATTCACTTAATAACTGTGGCAGGGAAGGTCATTGAGTGGGACAAACTCATGTTTCACTTAGCATCATAAATATTGGGCTCAATTGTGGTTGTAATTCGAGAGCTATCTGTAACTTTTGATTCAGCATGAAGCATCAGCTCAGCCCTGAACTCTTAAAAGGCACAATCAAATATTGGTTGGTCCAGCCAAAGATGGGGAACTACGGCCCTTTAAAGATTTGTGAACTTCAACTTCAACATGGTTGGCTCAGCAATTCTGGGAGTTGAAGTTCACAGATTGTAAAAGGGCCATATGTCCCCACCCTTGGTCTAGGCAAGCATCATAAGCAACCAATCTCAACAGACAAATGGAACATCTTGATATTTATCTTCTTTTTTCTTCTTTTTCTTCAGACGAAAGGTTGAATCTTCTCTCTCTCACTGTGATGGGACTGAGATTGATATTTTTCAAGAGCGTTGCTCTCAACTTGATACTTACCTACTGGGCATGGTCAAGATGAGGTAAGCAGTGGACTATAATCCACACGTGGTTGGAAAAAATGATAAAACAACACATAGACTTTAAACCTGAGATATTCTTATTGGGAATTATACCAGAAATATACAGTAAAGAATTGAAATATTTGATTATAAATGTTTTAACAGTGGCTAGAATTGCATTTGCTAAGAATTGGAAAAATGAAAAAACACCTATGCAGGAGGAAATTATGAAGAAAATCATGGACTGTGCTGAAATGAGTAAATTGACATTTGAAATTAGAGAACAAGAAGATAAACCATTTTATATGATATGGGATTTATTTTATCAATGGTTAGATAAAAAGACAGGGTAAAAAAATAGATTAGGAAGTTTTACAATAAAAATAGATTGATATAGAATACAATATAAATATATATAACCATTGGATGAATGTATAAGATTAAATCATAATGAAATTTAGAATATCTCATATAGAATAATGGAAAAATAGTTTAGGCAAATGAATGATTAATAATTGATATTACATAAGCAAATGTTAAATTGATAAGGTGAGAATTTATACAACTTGTGAGTAATGGTAAAAAAAAGGATAGCACAAAGGATTGTAACCAACTGACACACTGTATGTATGTAATTGAAATATAGTTTTATGTTTTCATGTTTCATCTGTATGTTTGTTATAAAAAATAAAAAATTTATATATAAAAAAAAGATGAGGTAAGCAGGAGGAGCACACTTAATGTCCCGGGTTTCCCTTTGGGCAACTGAAGCCTAGAAGCTTGGATTGAATCATTTCTAGACTATAGGCATGTGAATGTGCATATGCTGTGTTTATAGAATAGAATAGAATAGAATAGAATAGAATAGAATAGAATAGAATAGAATAGAATACCTTTATTGTCATTGCATTCTACAAATACAATGAAATTTGAAAGCTACTCCAGCACAGTGTCCCAAACACCACATCACAATCACACTACAGAGTATTTAAAAATTAAAATAATTAAAATAATAATTAAAAACCTAGTCTAAAACCTATCTAAAGCATATAGTAAGATAGTTTAAAAATGCCACTATATACATAGGGCTAAATCACATATGCATTGTTTGATTCAAGACAATTATTGCCTTGGAAAAGAAACTGTTTCTCAGTGTATTAGTCCTCATTTTAAGACACCTATAACTCCTCCCTGATGGTAACAGTTCGAAATATAAATGTCCAGGATGAGAATGGTCTGTGGAGATTTTTAGTGCTCTAGAGAGGAGTCTGGTCTTCACAATCTCTTCTGAAGAAGAAAGAGAGCAACTGATGATTTTTTGTGCTGTGTTTATAACTCTCTGGAGCATCTTCTTATCCACTACAGAGCATCCAGCATACTACACCATTACACAGTATGCCAAAATGCTCTCAATGGTAGAACGGTAAAAAGTAACTAGCAACTTCTCATCCAGACCACTCTTTTTCAGCAGCCTCAGAAAGTGCAGGGGCTGTTGGGCCTTCTTTGCAGTGGCTATAGTGTGGACTGACCAAGTAAGGTTGTCAGAAATATGAGTTCCTAGAAATTTAAAACTGTGAACTCTTTCCACACAGTCTCCATTGATATATAGTGGGAGAGGCTCTGCTTTGCATCTTCTGAAGTCTATAATGTCTTTGGTCTTTTTGATGTTCAGGGCGAGGTTATGACTCTTGCACCACAAGACCAGTCTGAGAACCTCTGACCTATAGGCCGTCTCGTCTTCTCCTGATATGAGTCCCACCAATGTGGTGTCATCTGCAAATTTTATTATAGAGTTAGTGGGACAAAAGGGAGTGCAGTCGTAGGTGTAGAGTGAATACAAAAGGGGGCTCAGCACACAACCCTGTGGAGAGCCAATGCTGAGAGCAAGAGTGGAGGAAAAATAGCTGCCAATCCTAACAGTTTGGGGGCTGTTAGTAAGAAAGTCCTTTATCCAACAGCAGATGTGAGAGGAGAGGCCCATTTCTAGCAACTTCTTAATCAGTAAGAGCCTGGGTTTAAAAATAATTCAAACAATTTGGGCTCCCATTGATTCTGATTGCTATACAGCCACAAATTGCTATACAGCTTCCCTCAATATGGACTTTATAGCTGGTTAGACTTAGAATAATTTTATTGTCACTTTGAATGTACACTAATTGGCATATATTAAAATGAAATTCCATTGCATACAGCTGTCAAAGGGTTACCACCTCCAATATACACTACATAACTAAATAAATAAATGACTAAATAAATAAATACAAAATTGTGTAAATACGCACATATATTATACAACACAGAGGAACAACACAGTCTGGTTTGGATATATAATGTTTTTAATGGAAGTTAAAATTCATCACATTTGAATGATTGAATGACCCTCACAAGGAACCTTCTAGTGGAACCCTTAAATTAAATGTAATTTCATGTTAATATAAACAAAGTCTAAATTTAATAGGACGTATTCCATGTGCCTTTGGCGTGTAACCATGCTGGACATATGACCACAGAAATTGTCTTTGGACAATGTTGGCTCCCTCACCCAAGAAATGGAGATGAGCACTATGCTCTAGAGTCGGATACAACTGGCAGGAAAACCTTTTACCTTTGCAAATGGTTGAAAATGATCTGTTGTTGGGACAAGGGGTATCATCCTAATTCTCTCAGATAACCAGAAATATCTCTTCCTCTTTTTGAATAGGAATGTCAGAAAAATGGAGAACTGGAATGTTGTCATTTAGGACTTCAATATTTGACTGGACAGAAAACATGCTACCAGCTTTCCTGATTGCCTTCTCAGATTTTTAAACAAAACAGCTTCACTTTTTAAATGTTCTGTGGAATAGCTTTTAAAAACACCTGGACAGCTTATCAATGCAAATTCTTGCATTGTTCTAATGTACTATACCGTCTTCTGAATATTATGTGTTAAAGCATTTACAGTGTAATAAAGATGCATATTTAAATGTGTGTGTGTGTGTGTGTGTGTGTGGCTCATGCTTTATTATTCAGGATCATTGTTCCTCCTTCCTCAAGAACAAATAAACTCATTATGGTTTACAAAGATAACAGAATAACAGAGTTGGAAGGGATCTTGGACATCTTCTAATCCAATTCCCTGGTCAAGCAGGAGGCCCTATATCCTTTCAGATAAATGGCTGTCCAAATTCTTATTAAAAACTTCTAGTATCTGAACACCCACAACTGCTGGAGGGAAGTAACTGATTAACTACTAATAATATATTATAAGTCTATAATATTCCATAATGTGGTTCGTCTTATTTAAATGAGAAAGCCCAGCCATTACGGCCCTGTGTGCCAACCCACTTATATTTTCTTTTGTTTGTCTCAATGTTCTTCCTTGTGTGGGAATGAATAAAAGAAGAATGAAATATTTTGAGGAATATTAAACAAGGCAGAATATTATATTTTTCTAAATGAGAAATGGAAAAACATGGGGTTTTTTTAGAGGCAGGAAGTAGCCCCAATCTCCCTTCCCCCAAGCAGAAACTGTGGAGGCAACTTTTAGAAATGCAGATTTGGTAATCCATTCAAGACATGATATTTTGAAACTCCATGCAGCAAAATCAGAACAAAGTCAGAATTACCTAACAAAGGTAGGATTAACCCTTCACTCAAGATCCAAACCAGGACAAAGCCATTAAGCCACAGTAGGAATTGCCCAACACTCTTTCAGATCACAAACCCCTTCAATGCATGACCCCAGAGCAGTCCAAAGTTCAACCAAATTAGCTCCGACAAGCACTTAGGACATGCATTTCCTCCCCTGCCTATAGAGCCAGATATGACCCCTACATAACTCCTACATGACCACATAGGAATTGGACAACAGCAAACAGAATACATGTTCTTGCAAAGGAACAGGAAGTTCAAATACAAAGCCCAGGTAAGGTATAAAACCACCCCCACTGTCAACTCCATTTTGTTAGCTTCCCAGAATCACAACTCATGTGGTTCTGCTTCATCGATAAACCATATTTCCAATCAGCCTCCATGTTTCCAGTGTCTCTCTCCCAGCTTGGAACTGATTCAGATGAATATATCTTCCCACACCTGAAAGCAAACCCAGAAGATTGGAACTTGCACTTTTAAAAGCATGAGCTTCTTAGGGCAAGCTTCTTATAACTCTTGTTTGCCACAGAATTTTATTTCATCATTTCATTCCTGCATCTAAGCGTTGGCTTTGCTTTTACAAGAATCAAATGGTAGATAATAAATGTTCTGATCTTATTGAAGTAACCATCTTTTTTTAAAAAAAAAGTTCATGTGTTTTTGAATATCTGAAAAGAGATTGAAGTTACCCAAGCAATTTTTGTAATACTGTACTAACACTTAAAAGTATTGCAATCTGGAGTTAAGGGAACAGAGAAGGCCCAGAACAAGAACAGAGAGTCTGAGAAAAATCTGAAAAAAAAAAATCAGATGTGAAGACTATGCCAATCTTGTTCTATTACCTGGACCAAGGAGCAAATTCCATATCAGTTGTTCATGGGCTGATGTCATAATATTGTATATTTGAACAAAACGTGCTGGAAATATCTCAGTCAGAAGTTCCTTAAAAAAATAATAATAATCCTCAACTGCCAATGCTAAATCAATTGGATTAGTCATCAATGAAACTACACTACTCCAAATCGGTGAAGTGTTGGAAATGTCATCAGATACCTGGATCGTATTACCATATGTGGTGAACATGTGCGGAAGCTAAAAGATATTGGACTAAAATACACACATGGCTGGAAAAAATGACAAAACAACATATAGATTTAAAACCTGAGATAATTTGTGTTGGGAATATTACCCGAAGGTTATTACAAAGAACTGGCTTATCTGATTATTAATGTTTTAACTTCAGCTAGGATTGCATTTGCTCAAAATTGGAAAAATGAGAAAATTCCGAAGGAGGAGGAGGTGATTAAGAAAATAATGGAATGTGCAGAAATGAGTAGATTATAACATTAGCAATTAGAGAGCAAGAAGAAAAAGAGTACTTTTAGATATGGGATTTATTTCACCAATGGTTAGATAGAAAAATAGGAAAATGAAATATAATAGAACAGCAATGATATGTTATAATTGGTTATTTTGGAATGATAATATGAACTAAAATTAGTAAGAATTGACATTTGCTCTAAAGGACAATGTGGACTTGAAATCAAAGTCTAATGATGATATAATAATATAATAAGACATGGAAAGTTGATTAATGTAACATGAATGCAAATTAAAACCTAAGAGGAAAAGACTGCACAAGAAATATGTATCAACCGACACACTGTACAATTGAAAGAATATTTTATTTGTTGCTTTATGTTTATGTTTGTCTATGTTTGTTGTTAAAAAAAAACTTTTAATATATAAAAAAAGAAACTACACTATTCCATCTGACTCCAAAAGTTTAAAAGTTGCATCACTTGATACCGAAACAACTATCACAGCAGTTGTGATAACCCCCTTTTTTTTTTACATTCACTTCTAGAAACCTTTTGTGACTTGACTTCTTGCATTAAATTTTGCAATCTTGATATTAAATCAGATTAAATAGTGGGAGAGATTCTAGAACGTCTACTCAGCTCTGAATCATATAAAATTCCATTGACAACTACACAGAGACATTTCAGTAAAAGCAAAAAACAAACGTAATTATAGTTTGGTTTTCCCTGAACAAACCACCTATTCAAACTGACCAAACCAGTAAGTGAGGAAGAACTTGTTTGCTGTCTAGTCTTTTACATTTAAGGAATCTTCTTCAACCTTATCTTTAAATCTGTTGGATTTTAACAAATCTGTTGCTACTATCAGTACAGAGGTGGTATTCAGCAGGTTCTGACCAGTTCTGGAGAACCGATGGTGGAAATTCTGAGTAGTTCAGAGAACCAGCAAATACCACCCCTGACTGGAGATTTTACAGTATCCTTCCCCTGCCAAGCCCACCAAGCCTTTTTTTGTGTCCCACCAGGTGTATCTCCCTCAGTGGTGGGACTCACAACATTCCCTGCCTTCTCGCTCTAATGGGTTGGGTGGATGTGACTGGCAAGAGATATTTCTTTGGATAACCCATACCCAATCCAACGGCTTTAAAGTTGATAACCAGCACCTTGAATTGCACCCGGAAGCAAATTGGCAACCAATGCAGCTCCTGCAGGACAGGTGACACATGTGCACACCAGGCTCTGCATAAAACCATGTAGGCCGCTGCATTTTTCACCAACTGGAGCTTCGGGATGCTCTTCAAGGGAAGCCCCATGTAGAGTGTGTTGCAATAATTAAGACGGGAAGTGACCAGGGCATGAGTGACTGTGAGTAGGGACCACTGATCCAGGAAAGGGTGTAACTGGTGCACAATCTGCAGTTGCGCAAAGGCCCTCCTGGCCACAACCGCCACCTGCTCTTCAAACAGGAGTTGTGAGTCCAGGAAAACCCCTAGGTTACGCACAGGGTCTGTTTGGGGTAGTGCCACCCCATCCAAGACTAAAGATGGCAATTCTCCCTGAACCAATGAACCCCAAACCTAAAGCCATTTGGTCTTACAAGGGTTTAATTTCAATCTGTTGCTTCCCATCCAGCCGCAACAGCCTCCAGGCATTGTGAAAGGGAGGACACAGCATCACTTAACTCACCATGTGCCGAGTCATATAGCTGAGTATTATCAGCATATTGGTGATACCTCAATCCGTGGTGACGGATGATCTCACCCAGCAGCTTCATATAAAGGTTGAACAGGAGCAGAGAGAGTACTGAGCCCTGCAGAACCCCATAAAGCAGTGGGCAAGGTTTGGATCTCCCCACTCCTATCAACACTGACTGAGAGTGGCCGCAGGGGAAGGAATATCTTTTATAGCTTAAGGTGGGACTAGAACTCAGTTTCCTGGTGATCAGCCCAAAGTCACCCATCTGGTTTTCATGGTTAAGGCAGGAGAACTTACAGTCTGCTAGTGATTGGCCCAAGGTCACCCAGCTAGCTGGACTGGAACTCTGTTTCCTAGTGATTGATGCAAAGCAGGAGGGGGCTTCAAAAATTTTAGCAAAGGAATCTCTGCCCAGTTGCTGGGTGGGCATGGCCATGGTGAGCATGGCCTAGTTGGCCTCCTGTACCATGGGGAGGCATTTTTGCTCTCCCCAGGCTCCGGAGGCTTTCCTCGAGCCTCCAGGATGGCAAAAATGGCCTCCCAGGGCTATGAGGGCTCTCTAGAAACCGGAAACAGGCCCATTTTCAGCCTTCTTGAACTTCCAGGAGGCCCGTTTTTAGCCCTTCCTGAGCTTCTGCACACGCCCTGCAATTACCTGCGTCCAAAATGGGCCCCCTGGGGACTCCTGGGAGGTGAGGTAGGTGGGGCCAGCCAGGAGTGAGATTTGGGGACTCTCCAAACTGCACAGAATTTTAGCTAGGGGCTCCCTGAACCCCTGGGAAGCCCCAGCAGCCCACCCCTGATACAAAGTCACCCTGCTGAGTTTCATGTCTAAGTTGGACTAGAAGTCACAGTTCCCCAGTGATTGGCCTAAGGCCACCCAACTGGCTTTCATGGCTAAGGCAGGACTTGAACTCAAGGTCTCCTGCTTTCTAGCCTGGTGCCCTCATCACTACTAGACTAAAGTTGGTTCTCCAAATTAGCTAAGGAATCATACTGGTTGAATTTTCCCTTATTGAGAAGGCAGTGAATTAAGAAAGGTTGATTCAACAAAGCTATTTTCTTCCTTTATTTTTTTTTGTAAGACCCACAGAGTTAAATGTGTCTTATTTCTCAATTAAAGAGGATACCCTTGTAGTGCACCGTATGCAGGTAGCCCTCAACTTACAATGGTTCATTTAGTGACCATTCAAAGATACAATGGCACTGAAAAATATGACCATTTTTCAGAGTTACGAGCTTTGCAGTATCCCAATGATCACCTGATCACAATCCAGATGTTTGGCCA